TGGCTGGCTGGCCTTGTGCTGCAGCTCCCTGCATGGAGCACCAGAACAGCAGATGATTTGTGCAGCAAAAGGGAAAGTGGGACCTGCCCAGAGCCACCCTGTGTGCCAGCCGGCCACAGTAAGCACTGTGAGTGTCTGTCCTCTCTTCTCCTGGGTGGTTTACAGTGGCCCTCGGCAGGTGCCTGCGCTGTGGCTGTGGCAGGTGGGGGGTGGCTGCCCGGGCCAGCATGCTGCCGTGCAGCTGGCTGTGTGCGGTGGGTGCTGCCGTGGTCCTGCGTGGCTGGAAGGTGCCAGGGCTGCAGCCGGTGCTTTTGTCTGCTCGTGGCGTGGGGCAAGGGAAGGGTGAGAGTGGGATGGGCTGTGGTGGCATGGCTCTGCAGGCTCACGTGCTGCTGGTACCGGGGGTAAGAGCAGGACGGGCCGTGGTGGCATGGCTCCGCAGGCTCACGTGCTGCCGGTACCGGGGCTAAGAGCAGGACGGGCTGTGGTGGCACGGCTCCGTGGGCTTATGTGCTGCCTGTGCTGCTTTGCTGCAGCTGCTCCTGGCTGATGCAGAGCACTGGCTGGGGAGGTGAGGTGAGGATTCAGACAGATGGACTCCCCAAACCCTCCCCTGCCATGGGGCCATCGGGTGCGGTTGCTCAGAGAACAGGTCCCTGCCTTTCTTCACATTTAAAAGCTATTTTTGCACCTGGTTTTGCCTCACCAGTGTGGCCAGCCCCGGACCTCTTCCCGCTGCCTCCCAAAGGCACCAGGGCATGGCTGCACTGGGGACAGGCAGCTGCGTTGGGGACAGGCGGCTCTGTCCCCAGCCCGGTGCTGGTGCAATTTTACCACTAGGTTTTAATTCATGTGAGGTGGAGTGAGATGCTACAGGATAAGGAATATCTGTAAATACTTGGGAAATTCCTCAAACCCTTCAAGCCCAGGCTGTTGCTGGGATGCTGAGGCTGTGACAACAGCAAAAAAAGCCTAGTTGATAAATGTCAAAAGAAATACAGTAATCAGCTGAAAGCAATTTACTGAGCCATGTAACCGCCCTGGGCTCGCCATTTTCCTTTATTCATTTATCATGGTAAGCGCTTTGGCCAAAATACACAAAGCAGAGAAATTGTTGACATGTGGGGCCCTAGCAGAGCAAATCCTTCATCCTCCTCCCCCTCCCCACTGCACACAAACTAACTTTTTGGGAGTTGTTTATTTAAGGACTGCAGAGCACTCAGTGCTCTTTGAACCCAAAAGCTTTGGCAGTGGGACTGTGGGGCTGGCCACCACCTTCCCTCCTCTTGCCATCGCCCAAGGCTGCGGGGAGGCCATTTGCTGCTGTCGGGAAGTACCTGCTGGTAGTGAGGTGAGCTGCACGATGTGCTCAGGACCCCGTTCTGCTTCTACCTCCTCCACCCCCTAAAATGTGGTACTGGTGGCTTGCGTGGGCATGCCGTAACTGGTCGGGGAGGGCAGATGCTGGTTTTGGAAAGTTCCTGTGTTGGCTCTTGGTCTTCTCGGTCCTGGCTAAAACAGCCAGACTGACAGCACTGGTTTCGGTTCTCTAGCCACAAAGCCTAGGGAATCGCAAAGCCCGCCTCCCCTGCCCACCCTGCACCAGTTGGTGTTGAGCTCCCTCGTGCCTTCCCGGTGGCCAGGCTGCAGGTAACTCTGCTGGCCACGGCAACGGGCAAACACTTCTTTTGAGATGTGTGAACTCAAGGGGACACACCAGCCAGGAACTGGCTGTCCCAAGGCTGCTCCTCCACGTCTTATTTTGACTTTATTTTAAGCGAACATAAATGCCGAGGTTCACAGCAGGGCAGCGCAGGTTTCTTTTGCGCATGGTCCTTGCTTCTGCCAGGCTGTGAGATGCTGGGATGCAAACAGGCTGGGGCGCAAGGCGAGCGGGGCAGCCTTTCCTCCTGTGCCTCAGCGCCTGTGTGGGAGCCCTTCCAGCAGCCTCCGGTCCTCCTTCCTGCTATTTTATTTTTAATCTTAGTTCACCCAATTCTGTTGCCACCTGGATGAAGAAGAGCGAGGAGAGCTCCCCCTCCCTCCAGTACAATCCAAGGTGGGGAGTCGGAGCAGACATAGCACTGAGCTGCTCTGGAGGTCTGGCAGAGCTGCCCCTGCCCATCGCCCGAGGCTGCTGACGCCGGGCAGGGATGGCCACAGGGGTGTATGGCAGTCCGTTCTTGCTCGAGGGGGGAGTGTGTCCATAGGGATGGTGCTTATCCAAGCAGCTCCTTGGTCTTCGCTGCCAGCAGCTTGTCCATCTCCGCTGCAGTGCTGTCTGCCATTTGCTGGATCTGCGGCAACATAGCACAAGTCTGAGTCGCACGCTAGGTGATGCCAGAGTTTAAAGGTAAAGGAATGACTGGATCACCTCCTGAAACAAAGCTTAAAGTCCTAATAAAACCCAAAATAGTGCTGGGGCAACACTGGCTCTTCCTGGGGGCTCCCACCAGCCCCCAGTGATTCTGTGCCAGTGTTGCATCTGTACAGTGAGAACAGGGACCGGTCAGAGGCTCTGAAAAGAGATGCACAACACAAACTCTTGGCTGAGCCTCGTAAGTGTCTTGGCCGGGCCCTTATTTAACAGAGCTACTTCAGGGGAAGGCAGAGTTAGAGACCTGCTGGTGTCGGCACCAGAGAAGAGAGGGCTTATCTCATTACCTCCTGCAACATTTCCACTACTAGAACAAACAAGGTAATAGCAGGAGCGCAGCCTTAGTACACGCTAAGAATTCACACATCAAGTAACAGATCTGTTTATTTCTTGTAAAAAAGAAATAAATGGCTATTGTTAAAGCCCTGCCCAGGGATCAGGTCTCCTGGTAACAAGGGATGGATATAGCAAGCATGTAAACAGGACCAAAATGCGTGCACTTATTTGTGTGAGTGCACATAAAGGTTGGAGCACATCTTTTGTTGGTTGGAAGTAGAGGTGGGAGGGCGGGGGGGGGGGGGGGGGGGGCGTGTTTACGCTAGTTTTACAAGACTGATTATGATGTACTCGCTTCCAAGGTATATGACGATGACCTTTCCTCATGCTGAAAAATTTGGGTACAAGCGAAAAATCAGACTTGAGACGCTACCTCTACAAATGCAGAAAAACATCTGTCTGCTCTGGGAGAACTGCTTCCCAACAGGATTCAGTTACAATAGCATGGCCATTTTTCCTGCTTGCACAAATGCTCTGTATATCAATGTTTATTTTTGTGAGCACACAGAGAACTGTCCCGAAGCATTTGCAATGTATCTAACTTTAGCTGTTAATAAACAAACAGCTAAAAAGTAATGGCCTGCCTTCAGAGGCATCAATTCAGCAAAACACTTAGGCTTGTGCCTGAGTTTATGCCCAAGTAATTGACTTTAGTGACATCTGCTCTTAGGGAATTAGGCATGTGCTTAAGTATTTTCCTGAATTGGAGCCAAAAACTCCTAACAGAGATAATCTTGCTAGCCTTTTCATTAATAACAAACTGGAGCAATCCTCATTAACACCAGCTGTTTTGCAGTGGCCAGGCACTGTAAATGGTGGCAAAGCTATGGATGTGGGTCGTTTTGCTCCCCAAGTTCAGCTGGCTTGTGCAACAATCCCTGTTAGGACAAAAGCTTTCAGGGAACATTATTTTTTTTCCCCCCTGTGTCAGCTTACAATGGTTCATATCATAAATTTGGCTTTGAGATTGAAGCCCCAAATCTCACAAAGAGAAAGCAAATACAACAGCCATTACTGACTCCAAAAATTCAGGCCAGGACCACCCATTCCCCGGTCGGGTTCTCAGTGCTGGAGATTTGTCAGCAAGGGCTGGGACATTAAGCTGTGAAACATTATGACATGGCAGAAGGAGAAAAAAAAAAAAACTACTTTTCTAGCTGCCAGACAGATGGTATCTTCAGACACTTTGTTCTTGAACTTCTTTACCTGGTTAATGCTTTTGCTTCGCACCTTTCTCAGGGCCTCTTTGGACTTGTTGGTGGACTGCTTGGCAAGCTTGGCCAGGCTCTCCCTGTGCTCTCTTGTTACCCTAGCAGCGAGGGGAAAGAAAAAACATCAAAAGGAAAAAGTGTCACGTGTAGCACAGCCAGTTTTATTTTCTGCGATGGACTTTGGGTAAATGCAGCGATCCCCTCCGCTGCGGTATCTCTCCGATTGGCCTAGACAGAGCTGCCACGCAGCACTGAGCCAGGCTGTGCAGAGACACCCAAAAGCCACCTGTGTTAAGATAGAGCTTGCTCTGCATGGAGGCCCTATGTCGCAGGGGCACAGGGACTTACAGCTCAGGGCGTGTTTTTATCCTGCTTTGGTCCACCTGAGTGAATCAGCCACCTCTGCGCAGCATCGCCAGGGCAGCACACCCCAGTGAAGCAAGTCTTGAGCCTAGAACGGCAAGTTCCCGTCACAGCCCTAAACTGAGGGACTTGGACAGAATCTTACTTTTATAGTTGTCACTGCAGTGCCTGAAAGTCATGATGAAATGTTCAGACTTTCCTTTTTTCTGCTACCAAAGCATCTGTGGGAAAGAGGGAAAAATCCAGCTCCCGACCTGAGAGATGGAGCTGAAAAGCATAATCCTGCAAAGCCGGGAGGAAACCTCCGTCCCTTCCCGAAACTCGGTACTGTCTCCCTGCCACTGAAGAGCCTGAATTATACATCTGGAAGCTACAGAGCTTATGTTTCGCTCAGCCTTATTCCAGCTTATCACAACCAGGCTTTTCCACCAAAATGATGTTGAACGCCCAGTTTGACAAGAGGATGATGCTAGACATGGCTAGCCACGGCTAACTCGGCCCAGGAGAACTTCAGCTCCACCTTCCCCCTGACGTGGGACCAGTTACTGCTGTGGTGCCGCAAGAAAATCCTCAACCTTCCATCCCAAACTAAAAACTGCAGGTGATGAGGGAGTCGGGCCATCTGAACAAGGCACGGAAATGGCTGATGTGTCACCTCAGCTCTGGTAATGCTCCAGCACCTACAGCTGATCACTGTCAACATCAACTGCTAGTGCTTAACTACAATATTTTAATTATTTTCATGGCTATTGAAGTTTCCAGACTGCCTTGAGAATTAAAAACCCCTGTGCACTCACTGAGACTCGCTAGCAAGAGAGCACTCGTCTGCTCGCAGAAGATATTGCAAAATAAACATTTCACAGGAGTATTTAGAAATTGGCTGCAACAGCCTGGGTCACTAAAACACCGAGGCCAAGACTCTTCCTGCAGAGAGCTCAGGAAATATGGGGTGAGGGCTCCCAGGGCAGCGCCAGCTCTGCCCCTGCGTGGGTGTGTGTTACGGGGAAGCTATCGGGACACGATCGGACCCTCGGCCCTTCCCGAGCTTGTGCTCAGCCCAGCAAGTTGCATGTGTGCCGATACCTTCCCTCGGCAGCCAGGTTGCTCGCAGCAGATGTCTGCAGAGGCACTGGCCTCTCGCCAGTTATCTTTATTTCATGGTGCAAGAGGGAATAGGCTTCCCAGAACCGATTAGTAATTACAGGAATTTGGGATCACTAGAAAAGCTGACAGACCTAAAGAGCAGCGACCCAGCCCCGGCATCCAGGGTGCCCCCTCGCATGCACGCTGCCTTCACCCGGGGGCACCCTGCAGGCAGTGGCTCAGCCCCCCCCAGCCCGTCCTGCTCCCTGCAGAGGGACAGCCAGAGGGAGATGGCCAGTGAATTTCACATGTGGCGAGAGGCTTCTGGTCAGCGCAGGCTTGAGCCTGGACCGAATGCCTAATTAGAAGTGAGTGGGGTTACTTGTGGTTTCCTTTGCATCCCAACATCGATGCCTTTAGGGCTTCTCGTGTTCGATCTCCCCAGCCAGAGGTCCCGCGGCACATGCGAAACCAGCAAAGCCAGCTCACAAACAGAGGTCCGGGTGAGGTCAGATTCTCAGGCAGCTTTTTGTGGGGGCGGGGAGTCAATCCCGGCTGCTAAACTTGGAGGACAGAGCTGGAAATCTCTCCCGTCTCCTGCTGGGTGGCGAGGCAAGTCGGTCTGCAGCAGGGCTGCCTCAGCTGTGGGAGACCGAGCTTGCCGTCAGCTATTCGCCTCCCCGCTCCCGCTCAGCTTTTGCGAATTGTGCTGAGGGTATCACTCGCCTGCTTGGGGCTGCCGAGCCTTTAAGGAAATGTTTTTGTTTATGCAGCGCTGCCAGATTTCCTATGCTTCTTGGCACAGGGTCACAGCTTTCATGCCTCCTTGTCTGTCTTTATTAACACCAATTTCTTTTTATCACTGTGCAGTGCCGTGGAGTTTCTCAGCGGGTTTTATGTTCCAGCCCGACTGCGTGTAAATTCTCAGCAATGCTACCAACAATGCCAGAAACGGACGCTTTTTCAAGCAGATGCTGTTTCTGGTTAAGGAATCCATCAACACGAGCCAGGCCCATGGTTTCTAAGGACAGTTGTTTAATCCTGCCCCCAGATCTGGGACTTTTAAGCTGTTCTTAGATATCATTTCTTTTCTGTCTAGTAACGATTGCCCCTACCCTCTCTTTAAAGCCAAAAAAAGTGTGAAGTGAACCTGGGGAAGGGGTGCCAGAAGTGGGGAACAAGGAAAAGGTCCCCGCCTGTCGCCCCTTCCCCTCTGCCCTGGGGGAACACCGCCCTCCCCTGCAGCTCAAGGAGCAACCGGCTCAAATCCTGCCGTTCCCCCGGGGACGGTCTGCCCTGCCAGGATCAGGACAGAGCCTGGTGACTGACGTGCCGGGGCGTTCAGAAACGCACACCGCCCCACGGGTGACATCTCCTCTTTTTCTGCTTCTACCAGCAACCAGTGGCTTAAGCGCTGCAACCCTTGGCTGCTCCTCTCCCCGCATGCGGCAGGAGCGGACCCACAGCGAGCACGACGCAGGCCGCGTCTCGTCTCTAACGCAAGACGTTTATGCGGGTAAGAGTAATTTCTGCATCTCAAATGCGAGGAATTTCCTGTGAACGAGAGGGATCAGTTAAAGTAGGCTTAACTAGATACTCCGCATGCATAATTGCAGATAAACACAGGGTGCAACATATATCGCTCAACAAAAAGCATGCAGGAGACTTCTGATGACGAGCGATCCAGAGCAACGCAGCTCAGAAACAGCTTTGGGGTTTTTTTCAAATGAATTTTTTTGAGTCCTTTCTCCCCATAGTAGGTATCTTTGCATATTTCTTAAAGGGCAAAGGAAAAAAAGCTCACAATGAGTCATTAAACTTTCAAATGAGTCATCTGGCTTTCAGTAAAGCATGTGTAAAAATATTACTAATTTACAAACAATATTCAGTGTAACACAATGGGTCCAAAAAAGATGAATCTAAAAAGGAGGCAATACCATAAAAGACACAAGGTCAGGTCAAATTCGGCCAAGAGATCAACCAATACAAATGTTCCCATGGCTGGTTTTCTTTCTTTTTTTTTTTTTTTCTTTTTAAACCTTCAGAGAATACTTTTTATACAAATAAATATTGCCTATGCAGTGCTAGCAACACAAACAGGCGAATGCCTTAGGGAGCAGAGGGGATCCTAGCAGGAAGCAGAAGTAAACACGAAAGGAACGAGTGTACTTTTTCTGTTAAAACTGCAATGCAAAACCTAAACTAATAGAATAAATATGGAAAAGTAAACTCCATTTTAAAATGCTCAGTTGAAACACTCTCGAGCACTGAAGCATGGCTGGAGCTGCATAAGGCAAAATATGACGCATCTGTGTCCAGCTGATAGGTCAGACTAAAAAGTGTTTTTAATAACAGGCAAGGACAATTCAGGTTTGATTTTGCTTTTACTGTGCCTCCCCTCATGAAAGAACCAATTTCTGCAGAAACAATATTGTCTCCTCATTTCTGATTTGTTTGCTCATTTTGCACACCTGCCATAATTTTAGATTTCACTGCATCTGTCTGTCATACATTCTTTCGTAAACATCTTGAGAGTTGGGAAAATGAAAAACTTAGAAAATTTAAAAAAGTAATTCAGGGATATAATATTAGAGGCCTCCAGCAGAATTTGATTAATTCCACTCCCCTTTGCATTAGAAGGTTTTAAAAGGTTGAAACTGTCTGCTTCTCTTTTCGATAAGTGGATGAAACTCTGAAAGACCCAGTTGTGTTACTAAAGAGCGGGTGAGAAAACGGGACTGGGGGTGCCTGCGAGGGCAGACCTGCAGGGCACGTCTCCCAAGCCGAAAATTTCTTTAACTCGGGACTCCCTGGGCTGCCAACCAGCCAGGGAGAAAGGGGCCAGGAGCAGCAACCCTTACACACCAGAGGAACGAGGGAGCACACTAGGCAGATCTTCCCTGGGGAGAGAAGACTCGTTTTTGCTCTGCAGCACCGCAAAAGATAGTGACAGACCGTACACATTTGTTTAAAAAACAGTATTTTTTTTTTTTTTTTAAAGATTGGGATTTGCAGTTTTGGAGTTTCCTCCCCTGCAATTCATATTCAAGGATGACCCAAGTGCCCATTAACAATCAAACCACTGTGCAGCAACCCAGGAGCCTCAGCAATTATGAAGATAATGGTGCCCTCCTCCTCCTCCTCCTCCTCCTCCTCTCCTGAGGAATGGGGGAAGGGTAGGGAGCACGAGGAAAAGAAAATCAGCAAATAGAATGATAATGTCATTCCCTCTCACCGACAGCAACGGAAAGCTGCAATTAGACTTCTCTGATCAAAATGCTAGATAAAATTCCATAGAATTTTTAAAGTAGATCTAAAGCACGAGAAATACTTGGTTCATCTTTACTGAGAAGTCACCTGCTTGTAAAGCGCAGCGCACGTGCAAGGTGTTTGTGTGCACAGGCAGTGGACGGAGCCGTCTTTACCCTTTGAGGGAGTTGTTCACAGCACCCCAGCGCCATGTAACTCCGGGGCGTGAGATCATGTACATCCACATCTGCCCGGGGTATTTAGACGGCTCCATCGCTGCAGGGCCCGAGCACCTGCAGGAACTCATGAACTTTCCTTGCCCGACCCAAACCTGGGCAGAGCAGCGCTACTGCCCCTGTTACAGGCTGTCTCTACGCTAGCGAGTTGCGCAGCACAGTATGAGCGGAGCTGCTGGGAGGTCTCGCTCCACGCGGGGTCCAGCCTGGTCCCAGCGACCGAACACGCGTGCGCAGGCAGCGTGGGAGCACTCGGTGCGCTCCCAGAGGGTACCTCTCTATTCGGTTTCATCTGAAAGGAATCCCGTTCACAGGCAGAGACCCTAGCGTGCTGCAGCCCAAAGCACACTAAGCAGGGATCAGCAGGATCGCTTCAAAAGCGCTCTCCTGATCCAAACTGAAGCACTGATGCAGTGGCACCTCCTGCCTTGTCCGAGGGCTGGGAGACACCTGTGATGGGTGAGGGAAGCGACGCTCAGTCCTCGGCCAGGTGTAGCCTGCTTTTCTGTCAGCCCTATACCAACGTTTCCACGCAGCCGTCAGTTACACAATGTGTATTACATGAGAAGAGGGAGTGGATTTTTTTAGTCAAAGCTATCCATTTCCTCCCTCTCTCTTTCATCACTTTCCTTTAGTGTTCTCTGCAGCAAGGTGCTATTCACCCCTAATACTACTGTTTCGCTACTGCGTTACTGCTGCTCTACGCTGGTGTAACTCAAGGAATTTACAGCAGGGCTGCAAAGAATCAGCCCCTGAATTAAGGCAATACAGCTTCAAAAGCCTTTAGCTGTCTCTTGCAAAGTGCTGCAGCCAGCTAGGACCAACTTTCCTCTGCAGGGGGAAGATAAAGAACAGTAAGACCAACCACCAGATGCCAAAATGTGGTGACTTAGAGCTCAGACACTTGGAGGAGCTTCTACCAGATGCCTTTAGGGGCTCAGATTTTTTTCTGAACCTGAAATACAGCTATTTGGAAAGCAGCTGCATCACGACATTACAGCAATCATGCATGCTTACCCTCTGAAGGGCACCCACTGCAACCTATTGCGTTATCTTGCATGACGATGAACTCAGGCAGCCATCAATACTCACTTCGGAATTGGCACCCGAATTATTGTCCCATCCACTTCTGGGTTCAGGTTCATGCCGCTCTCCCTTATAGCCTTCGTAGCTGCAGCTGTGCTCTGTAAAACAGATCAAAAGGTAAAGGGAATTAGGAAATAATCATTCCCATATGCCAGAACTCTGTCAATAGTTGGCAATCCATCTCCACGGAACATGGAAACATTTACTTCTGTTACCAGTAAGATCAGGAAGTTACATTGGTGCAGAGAGCTTTGATCAAACCGAATGGGAAACTACGGCCGTGCTCGGTACCGGGGTAGGGGGGCACGAAGCGGGGGGAGAAGGGAAGGGAAGCAACAACAAAAGAAAACTGTTTTGCTTCTTTGAAACTATTTGAATGGTTTGAGGCAATGCAGAGTGAAACCGCAATAAATTCCCAAGGCATAGCCTGACTGTGGCGAAGGAGATGAAAGATTCTGAGCATTTAAAAATTCCAGTTGAATGTTTCCCACTAGAAATCACACAGTGCCAATTTAGAAACGTTAACTAACTTAACCACTTCAGCACTACAACCTAACCACATTACATCAGGGCAGTAGCAGTTGGTTGAGAAATAGCGCCTGTGCCCAGCTCTATGTTTATTTTACAGCTTATTACTTAGGATTAACTTCGCAAAACTCCACCACCGCTGGCTGACACTCTGCTCTGCTTAAAAGGTGGGATGCGCAGGTTTGCCTGGTAACTGAAAAGTGATTAACGGCTTCCTTCCCCATCCCAGGGCACTGGGGTACCTTTACAGAGTGTCAGGCTTTACAGTTAAATCAGAGTTTTGCCAGGCGCTCCGGCTCTGCCAGGTTGCTTCGTTCTTGACGACTGACATTGACAATAACAAGACCCAGCAAGTCTGTATTCTTGTGGCACTCGCGTGGCATTTCCTACAAGGCGCGTTGCTATTTCTGATACTAAAAAAATAGCTCCAGGCTGCTGCAGTAGACTGTATTTATGAAGTTCAGCTTTTGTCAACTGAGGCACAAACTAAAGCTCTGCATATTTGTTTAGGTCTCCGACGCGTGACATCACTGAATGAAATGAATGCTCTGCTAGTGTTTTGTAAGACATAACTGTTGTCCTCTAGAACACGGCAAGGGCAGAGAAAATGTAACCAAGATGATCTCAGCATGTTAGGAATGTAAACGTGTTATTCTATGGACAGTGCTTGCTCTGTAGGAAGGAAATGCTCAGTAAAAGCTGTGTTGTTTAACATACATATTGGGGGAGATAGAGCAAGGGGAAAATATTGCCATATTGCCCCCATCCTCTTACAGCCCATGAAATAAATAGCTGTCCTTAAAAACCAGTCTGGTTTGGTTTTATAACTCTTGGGCAAACAGAATTTGGCCCTGCAAGTCCTTTTCTATGATTATTTTCTTTCCCAGACTCTTCAGGCATTGTTATTTGCTTTGCAATGCCATGAAGTACTGATTATATGCTGTAAATAATGACATCAAGTAAACATGTCTGTCTTAAAGAGTTCAATCTATCCATGGAACAGTTATGGTATAAAACAACTCCATTGAGAGAAATAGTTCTAGCTCTAGTTCAAATGAAAAATGGTCCTTTGGCTTAGAAAGCAAATGTAGGCAATGCTACATAGTGTGATATTTAATTTCTCACATACCCATTTCTCAGCCTGAGCTCCTGCTTGGACACGGGCTAAGTCATGGAGTGACTTCGCCGGCACTCCGAGGGACCTCGGTGCACTCGCTGAGGAGGGGCCTTCATTCTTCAAAGCCATTATACATGCTGGATATACTTTAAGAAACACTTAGGCATCAAGTGCTTTACACTGACCTCCTCTGAGACTTTGCTGACTTAATTAACTGGGGAAAGCCTTTGCAAAATAAATAGAGATAAGATTTGGCAAACCTCCAGACCTGGAGCGGGAAGAACAGCTAACCTCACGCTCGTTACTGCTCCTATCTGCGTGGCTGCCCGGCTCTATCTGTGTGAGCCCGCTGCAGGGGACCACTAGTGTTTGATCCTGAGGTGGGATTCAGATTTGCTGCCTCATTTAGGGGTAAGTCTAACTAAGGCTCCTGCAGAAAATTAAGGGAACTCGGCTCTCCCAGAGGAGAGGTCAAAGCACCTAATTCGGGTTCTGACCTGCAGGCGCTGCCAAGGGAGGAGCCCGCTAACCTCAGCAGTGCCTGAGTCAGGCCCTGTGACAGCACTTCGCACGGGCCCCGCTTAGTCCTGCCACGGAGGCTTTTCAGAAGCTCGCAGGCTAAATCGGCAGCTTCTTCCATGAGCTCTCAGGGGGTGTCCCCAGCCCTGGTAGTAAGTAAGCAAGTTTGAGGAGTTTGATGGTGTCCCCAGCACAAATACAGACTATTCCAATGAGACATCTGGTTCTATGCATGGCCACGTCTTCGTAAGGAACTGAAATGACATAAATGCAATGGGGCAGATGCAGCATTGCTTCCACGTGTGTAATTCAGGTGAACCAAAGGAACGCGTGTGTGCGCTCAAGACTACTGGGTGCCGTAAAAGCATGGGAAATGGGGAGACCTGGCAGGGCAGTTAATCCAGGCATCCGGTCTGCGACATGCTCAGCGCCGTTTTTCAACCAAGCTCTTGCAGATCCAACTGACGGGAAACCAGTCCCCAGAGCAAACCCCTCATACTGTGGCATTTATTGGATACGACCCTGAGAGCAATCGCAGCCTGACGGGCAGCCTGTAACTCTCGTCTGGCCCTGTGCCGCTGCACGCGAGATGCTCTGGGCGCCAGGCAGGGCTGGAGAGTCGCTCGCCCCATGCGGTGTGCAGTCGGCAGCAAAATACCGCTTCTGTTTTGTGTCAGCCACGAAGCAACATGCAGCCCCGCCAGAGCTCTCACCCCTGCCAGGTTTGACTGATATTGTCTAAATGTCCCTTTGCTCAGCATCAACCTGTTTGTTCCCGTGGTAGTTATCTCCCCTCGCGATGCCTTCAGTAATGTGTCCTTACCTCTGGAAAATTGGTCATGTTCACTATAAGAAGCTGTGGTGACTTCTGTGAGATCTGCCCCAGCTGGTTCAGCGGAAACTTCCCGTCTTTTGTCACCACGATTATGTGATCAAGGACCCCTCAAAAGAACCAAACACAGGGGAGTTTCAGTATGATACAGCAGTTGACAGCGATGCTGAAGAAAAGCGCGTACGCAGTGTCCCAGTTCCCTTCTGGTATGCAAAATGTAGATGTTACAAAAGAAAAAAAACCATGTCTATTCAGACTTCAGGTGCTGTTTGTGTTCATGCATCCCCTGTGGTATTTGCAAGCTAAATATTTCAGTGCTACTCTAGAGCACAAAAACATGAAAACAAAACTCTCGTTTGTTTTTGTTACTCAAATAGATAAACTAAGCAAGATTGTTAAGAATTAAAAGGAAATAATTATTTTTTAATTCTTAGAACTTAAAGAAAATCAAAATGTTGTTATAAAAATCAAGACAACTATTGTCTTTAACTTAGCAGTGTTCTCTTAAGCCCCCTTTTTTTTTTTCCAAGTCCCAAGAGGAGGTGTTGTACACTGCCTAATTTAAAGTATTCAGTTTCTCCCTGAGCTACTCTTAATCTGCTCTCTAGTTTCTGCTGCAAAATGTTAACAGGCCAAAAGGCACATGGGACAAGAGGTACTTTATCAGTGCAATTAAAAAAAATACCTATGGTTAAAATAAATAGTTAAGAGACTGAGCTACACTTTCCAACTCCACTAAAGACTGAAGTGGCCTTGCCAGAGCTGGGGTGGTGAATGATTCAAATTTGGTCATTGTTTAATGTTAAATTTTATCCCTGAAACTTGATACTACTTACAAATACGTATGTTCAGAGAGTTATAGTAACTGTAGCTTAGTCAAATATATTCACATTTCTTCCTAAAACACAAAATTCACTAAGCGAACAAGGCTTGTAAAGGTCACTAACCACAAAGACGCACAGCAAAAAAAGTTTGTGTATGCCAGACACCAGCCTGATGGCAATTTCCAAAAGGCTAATTTAATGGCAATTGGATTTTTCCTGCCCTACTGCACCATTAGCTGACAACCTGCTTCTTCATCACATCTGCAAACAGTTCAGTTAGACACTTTTGACATCTCCCACTTACAAAAGCTATTTCCAGGAAGCTATTAACAAAAATGGATTCTTCCTGGTCAAGCTCAGGGTGGAGAAAGCCTTTAGTTGGGGACGTCAAGGTTGTAGTAATTGCGTGCCCAGTGAATAACTCAACAAAAATAAAATCAATTTTGAAAAAATCAAGAGTTCTCTGTTACTGGGACTGGTATCCTTATTTACAGGCAACAGAGCATCATACAAGAACGTTACCAACCTGGTGAGGTTCTAACACTGAGATTTCTGCTGAAATCTTCTTTCAGAGCTTCCACCACCGCCTGCATGTCTTCATTGGTTTCCTCCAAGTTGATAATATCCTCAACTAGGGCAGCACTGATATTCACTCTGGCTTGAGTCTGCCCTTTACCTTTAGCTGCAGATTACACGTAAAATTAATTTGTTTCTGACAACAGTTAGTTGTTGCATTAGAAAGCAGAAAGAAGACATTAAAACCACTGTTAGATTCAGAATTGAGTCTAAGATAAACCGAAGTAACTGTATTTTTTAATGAGTAAATAGCCCAGCACTTGAGCACATAAGCCAAAATGTATTTGCAGGTCACGCTGTGTGCGCCGGCTCCAGCCTGGACTGTGACGATTGCTACCTACTGCCCCAGCGCAGCAGCAGCTCCACGCGGTACCTCTCCCGCGGGAAGGGCTCAGGTTTCCTGTGCACTGCAACACCGTCAGGCACACCAGCTCCTCCAGAGCTGTGCTCTGCCAAAGCTAGATCAATACCGGCATGCGAGATAAAAGGGATAAGAAGAGAAATTCTGGCAACATACTGAAGGGTTGCACACACTAGGAAAAAGGCTGCCGCAGTTACCTTTTTTGGTAGCTAGCTGTCTGGTCAGCAGCACCTGATGGGCACACTGCCTGCAGCCATCCAGGGGCAGGGCTGGGCAGCCTGCAGGAGCCTGCGGCAGCCCCCGTATCATTGCCAGCGAAGAACGATAAAGCAGGGAAGGCAGATGACGGAAGCACCTTATTGCCATAGCCATCGTTTACAGCTCTTCTCTAACTCACACGGAAAAGAGAAAAGGCAGGTGGTCCACTCGGCGTGCTAAAAAGAAACAGATTCAGGTC